CCAATCACAACACAGACGCTGACCAATCACATCACTGACCAATCACAACACAGACGCTGACCAATCACATCACTGACCAATCACAACGTCCGGGTCCCAGCGGTAGATCTGGAAGCTCTTGATTCTGGGCTGAACCGCGGACGCAGGCTGAGCCAACCCCACCGCCTGACCAATCACAACACAGACGCTGACCAATCACATCACAGACCAATCACAACACAGACGCTGACCAATCACATCACTGACCAATCACATCACTGACCAATCACAACACAGACGCTGACCAATCACATCACTGACCAATCACAACACAGACGCTGACCAATCACATCACTGACCAATCAGAACACAGACGCTGACCTCTAGTGCTCACAGACGGAACTACACCCTGACAGTGACTAAACCACACTCCACACTAATGAAATATTGTGCATGATAGCTGAAATATGAGATGGCACATCCCAGAGAGCCCAGGTAAAGCTCTGGAAAGCATCTGCTGTGTACAAACATCTGACAGACGTCTCCAAGAAGTCAGTTTTACATCATAAACATCTGACAGGAGGCGTCCTGTAGCTGTACAGATGAGCAAACACTCTAAACACGTGTCAGAGATGTGCGTGTGCTGCATTAGTGCGCAAATCATCACTGAACAATACAAAACCATCATAAAGCACAATCTCGTCTGGACTTGGGTTTCTGAAGCAGCAACACACCGCGGACATCATCTCCTCCAACAGCCCACAATGCACCGCGTCTCAAAGAAACACGCGCAGCTGCCTGTTGAGGCGGATAAAGACCTCGAATGCTGTGCACTAGGTAGGGAGCTGCGCTAGGTTTTGAAACGCAGCCCGTGATTATTGCTCGCATTATTAGATGAGTGTCTTTCTTAGTCATTAAGTACATTTAATAATGAATAACAAATGATATAAAAGCATTAGATATCGTACTTTTATTTTGTCCCTCTCGCATGACCCGGAATCTTCACTGGAATAATACAGACATTTATCAAAATTATTTAACTTGAATATAATATTTGTTTTCCTTCTAATGAAATTTTCCATATCCACCCAGAAAACCCTCGTGCAAACACAATTACAAAACAGATGGACAATAGACTCCTTTTCCACTGAACAAAAATCACAGGAATAATCAATATCCAAATTAAATCTCTCTAACACACTTTCAGCTGGATATATACCATGTACAATTTTAAATGTAGCCTCTTTTACTTTATTATTTAAACAGTATATTTCACAAATACGCCAAGCTTTATTCCAGTTTATATTTCTAAACACATTGGCCCACAATAAGCTTTTAGCTGTATCACCTGTTATAATATTCCTAATATATTTATTAGTACTACTTTGTTTAAGAATATCAATGCTTCCTAGAAACATGCTGTCTTTAACATGTATTGCCTCAGAAGTATCACTTCCACAAGCTCTTATAAAATGGACAACTTGCTGAGGTCTGGCATCAAATACAGCAGCATACTCTTTTGGTGTAACTGGAAAACCAAATTTATCCATAAATTCACTATAAGATAATAAATTACCATTTAGATTTAGAAGTTGTCTAACTAACACAATATCCTTTTCATACCAACTTTTATAAAAGAGAGATTTATTTTTATACTGAATACATCTATTATTCCAAATAACATATTTATTCGGGGGAAATTGTGCTTAAACACCAGCATCCAGGCCAATAACGCTTGTTTGTGAAATTGAGCTAATTTCACAGGTAGTTTGTCCATTTTAAAATCACAGATCTATGCCAGCCATCATGTCAAACAAGTGTTTTGGAAACGTATACCACATGCTGTCCTTCTCTTTCATGAAGTTAATGAACCAATTAACCTTGAATGTATTGTTTAAAGTTTCCAAACTAAGCACAGATAAACCACCGTTACCCTTTGGCTTTCTCAAACAGTGATGTCTACTCCTCCAAACAGAATTAAATAACATTTTGTCTAATTCTTTGTACACATTAGATGGCATTTCTAAAGCTAACGACACACAGACGGATCTTGATATCGCCTCTGCTTTTGCTAGTAAAACCCTACCATTCAGAGATAAATCTCTTTGAAGCCAGATATTAAATCTTGTTTTAGTTTTGTTCATTATAGGCTTGAAATTGAGCACACTGCGTTCATTCTCATCTTTATGTATGATAACACCTAAATAGGTAACAGTATGTTTAATAGGAATACCATGCAATTCTGTTAAATTACATGTTTTAAGTGGAAACAGTATTGATTTATTTCTATTCATTTTAAGACCTGATACTGAGGAAAAGTCTTTAATACAATTAACCGCTTTTAATATTATTTCTAAGCAAAATAGTAGTATCGTCAGCCAATGAGATCATTTAAATACTCTCATACCTTCAAACTCTGCTTTTTTTATATATAGGGCCATAATTTGTGTAACTAATAAAAACAAAAATGCAGACACAGGGCTACCGTGCTGTATACCTCGACTAATCTCAAATCTAATCTCAATAATCATACCCACTGATAATTTGACTGAACTATTACATCCATTGTAAATAGTTCTAACAGCTTTTGAAAGTATTCTCCAAAATCAAAATGATCAATACATCGACACATAAACTCATGGCTTACAGTATCAAATGCTTTGTAAAAGTCTATGAATAAGATAAAAGAATTATTCAGTATGTAATGATTGTAATCAACCATATCTAAGATTAAGCTAATATCATTACTAATATGTCTCCCACTCATAACCCTGATTGTTCTTCCTCAATTATCTCTTCCAAACCTTTCTTTAGTCTTCTTGCAGAAACGAGAGCAAGAAGTTTAGCATCAGTGTTCAGAAGGGTAATTGGGCTCCAGTTATCAATATAAAGTTTATCCTTATTAGGCTTAGGAATTATTGTAATAAGACCTTGTTTGAGAGTTGCAGGTAATTCCTCGCATGCGATTGATTCTTTAAACATGGCTAGTAAAAACGGAGATAACTGGACATTGAACATCTTATAACATCTTATATTGACTTATTATCCTTCAAGCCCACAATACAATTTTTAATCTCTTCTAGACTCATTTCTTTGTCACAAAATAATTTAAATTCATCATTTATTTTTTTTGTTGTGTCAGAAATTTTACTTGAAAACAAATCTGTTTCTCTGCCATTGTAAGAGTCTGAAGTGTATAGATTCTCATAAAACTGGGTGACATATTCAGCAATATCCTTATTGTTTTCACATACTCTATTATTGATCATGAGTTTACGTATAGATGATAATTCATTATTACGTTTTTTCCAAATTAAAAAAATATTTTGTATTTTTCTCACCTTGTTCAATCCATTTCACCTTTAGCTTTGTCTAAATAAATTGGATCTAATTGTAACTGCAAGGACGCCCGTTGTTTGAGCTCTTCATTTGTTAAAATTCGTTTACAGGATAATTTCATTATTTCTTCAATTAATTTGTTTTCTTTCTCTTTTTTTACTTTAGCCATTTTTTCCCTATACCTATAGCTATGCTTCTTATTTCGAATTTCATTCATTCCCAATTTTGACCAAATTTATTAAGAATACATGCCCGTTTCCAATATTTTTCTATAATTTCAATGGCTTTATTTTTAAACCCTTCATTCTCTAACAAGGTTTTATTTAATTTCCAATAGTTTGTTTTAGGACCAGCCGGATTTTCAGCATCTTTGTTGAGTTTAATCATTATAGCCTTATGATCTGTTAATACTGAAGTTTCAATTTTCACTAATTCAGTATCATCGGCACTATTTGCAGAAATTAGCCAAAAATCAATAGGAGAGTGTTTAGTCAGATCCTTATTACTCCAGGTATACATTCTTTGATGTGGGTAAGTGTAGATATCTAAAAGATCCATTCTTGCACATATGTCTTTTGATATACTTGTTTTTACATTGTTTTTAGGGGGCCATCTGTCAATTTCTTCATCCAAAACAGTATTAAAGTCCCCACCCCAAATAATCATTGCACAAGGAAATTTGGAAATCAGTTGGTTAATTTTACTTTCAATTGTTAAAAACAAATGATTATTCTTCTGCTTATTATTTGTGGCATAAATATTTACTATAATAAATTGGGAGAGATCTGTCAAATCACACTTCACACCGTACAGAGCTGAACACTTACAGTGATATAAGATTGCACATTCAATTATTGTGGAACATGATTAAATATCTCCAGATAAATGTAAATATCTGACTATTATCCAACGTTATGTAGCGATTAATAAAAGCGTATAAATGCAATACAATTAAACATGAATATATGACTGGGATGTGAGCATTGCTCTAACGTTTGAGCTGTTTTCATTTATTCTAATGCATTATTATATTTGACAGCTCGTGCAGATGATGTAAGGTTATTAACAAATCTGTAAAATATTGAATCAATTAAATCATTCCTAGTAAAAGTTGCATTATCTCTCTGTATTATTAACCAGTATCAGTGGAACACTGTTATAGTGTTTTATTTTATTTGTATATTTTCTGCTTTCATTTTAATTATAGTTAATTGTGTGTTTGTCATTTTTTGTTGTTTTAAATATGTTCAAGGAGTTTTATTACTTTTAATGTATTTTATTATATGTTATACGCTACCTTTCGGTTTCTAATATGAACTGTCAGATGAATAAACATTCATAATTATATTAATACAGACTGTGTGCATTAACTTCCTGGTAATGTTGCAACATAACGCAATTTATCAAATCATTTACATACAATTATAGCTTTTATTCATATTTTCAGTTTTAGTTCAGTTAAAGTTTCGATGATTTTGTTTTGTGTTTTTGTAATTTTTATTAGATTTTTTTAATTATTTAGTTTAGCACATCAGAATAAAAATGAGAAACGTTGCCTTGGAAACTTCCGCACGTGACGCTACAATCTGACGCAAGAGCCGCGCTGACGCGTCGAGGGGCGTGGCCTCCCCCAGCACGTCAGCCAATCAGCGCAGCGCAGCGTGACACTCGTGCAGTGGAAGCGTGTGCGGCCGGCTCTTCATGTCGTGGCTCTTCGGGCTCAATAAAGGTCAGAGCGGCGCTCCGCCGGACGCTCCGGTTCCGCCCGCTGGCTCTGGCTCCGGCTCCGGCTCCGGTTCGGGTGACAAACCCAAGGACAAATGGAGCAACTTCGACCCGACCGGGCTGGAGCGCGCGGCGCAGGCGGCCAAAGAGCTGGACCGATCGCGTGAGTAACGCGTCGTGACGCTTCATTCATTGTGTCGCGAGCGTATGAAGGGCATTAGGTCAAAGGTCAGTGCTGTCTGATGATGCTTGACCCCTGTGCCCGCAGGTCACGCCAAAGAGGCGCTGGATCTGGCGCGCATGCAGGAGCAGAGCGTGCAGCTGGAGCACCGCAGCCGCGTCAAGGTGCAGCACATCCGGGTCACTGCACTACACACTGTTTACAGAAAACTGTTCTGAATTGGGAGATATATATATAAAGAACATCTGACATTTTTCATTTTTGATCATTAATAATAATAATTGTTTCAGGACTCCATGAGGATGAATCAAATACTTTCATATGTATTTACATGTAGTCAGTCATGCAGAAGAGGACAGAAGCATCAGTGTGAGAGCTGTGAAGGAGCCAGGCCTTTTATTATTGAGGGACAGTTTTATTATCAATGAAAAGAAAACACGATAGGATAGAGATTGCTAGAGTCAGAGGCTCTCTCTCTTTTTAAGAATAGAATTAGAATAG